AATAATAATTTATGCCTTTATATCAATAAAATATACATGAATTAATCACTTATGTTAGTGACAGTCCGTAATGCAGACTTTAATTGAATCAACAGTATTTGTTTCTCAATGTACGTGACTTATATACACGTTACATATGATTTACATGTTTTATTACATGATTTCATGCATGTATGACGTGATTTTTTTCAGTAGGTATGTTTCAAATTGCTACTCTTCGAAATTACTTCCGTCACTTTGCAGCTACGTTTTAAAACTTTGGCTCTAATTTTTATTATACTCTTATCTCTTTTTTTCTCTGTATATAGTATATATTTTATTTCAGTTTCTATGAAAATATAATTCACGTGTCGCCGATTAACACTTCAAAATCGTCAGTGGTTTTTTTTCTTTTTTAGAAAGAACTTTTTTCACTTTCTTTTCTGCTCTCAGATTATTGTAAATTATACTTAAACTAATTTCCTGAATGTTTAACTCCATCTTATAAAAATGTATAAGTTTTATGCACAATTAAATTAATACTTGCTTGTACCTTATTCCACTTTTTTGTTCATGGCTCGATTCTTCTTTTGTCTTAAATTACGTTTACGTCAGCTGATCCGAATAGCTGGTGTCAATGTGAAGGCTATTAAACGATAAACATAACGGAAATATAGTTGCTATCCGTTTAATGACAACTAGATTTATCTTTTCGTTTAATCATCCTGTGTGTAGGAATTTATATTGCTACAATTTTTAAAAGCAAGGTTTTCAACACTATTATTTACGTTTTTAAAGTAAAAAAATTATTTCAAAATAGATATTTATAAATTATAATACTTTATAATTCAAATTTTTATTGTATACGTTTCTTTTTTTTTTTCTTATAAATCCACTTATATCATTCATTTACACAAAATCTACAAAAATAAGAATCATTCGGTCGGAATGGAAAAGTTTCATCTAGTTTCATCCAAGAATATTCAATGTTAATAAAAACGAGTAATCCATTAATCAAATTGTTTTTAATGCTTGACTGAAAAATTGCAATCCAGCTCACTCTTTCTTTAATCACCAATCGTTTTGTCTTCTTCGTGCAAAGTTAAACAGCAAGTCGTTCAGCGCACTCCTTCATCCGTGCACTCGATTGAATTATTGTGTTGTCTCTGTAAATAATCAAGGACTCTCGGCCGATCGATTTTACGATTGTCCTGTTCAATACGTCACTATTAACGTGATTATCTTTCTGCATTTATACCTCGCGCGAGACGCGTGCGGCGAATCCGAACGCACGGCAAGAACTAGTGGAACTGCTGTTCACACGCGCTTCTCAAAGCGACGCGACTGAACAGATCAGCGTGAAGAAGCGAAACGAGAGACGCTTTACTGTAACGTCTTGGTATAATACCGGATGCACCAAGAAACGCCCTCGTGAAGAGGATGCCACTTCCATGATCGCCCGATCTTTCATCTTCTTTTCTTTGCTTCTCTTCCTCCTCCTCCTCCCCCCTCCCTCTCACTCTCACTCTCTCTTTCTCTCTCTCTCTCTCTCTCTCTCCCCCTCTTTCTCTCTTTTTTTCATTCCCTCTTCTTTAGATCATCTTGCTTATTCACTCACTCATTCAATTATATGTACGCAACCTCTTTCTCTTCCCTTCCATATCTTTCTTCTTTTATGATATCCTACTACAACTTCTTTTTTTAAGATTTCTCAAATTCCTCGAGTTTCTACTTGTCGTTTGTCTACTTAACGTTCCCTTGGAACGCTCTTAAACTATTAAACCTGAGATTTCTTCATACAACGACGTTGTCTTGATCAATAAAAAAGATTCTATGATTCGCAGTGAAATATTTTTGTAACATCTCTGATAATTGTATTATCTTCAAGATATTTTTAACGATGAGTTGTAGCTTCTTTCTTGTAGAATAGGCATAATAAATAAATAGTAACGTCATTGCAGAATATCTAAAATATAACGTTAGAAATTAATACGTTAGAAGTTTGTAATAACAACAAACATGAGAAAGCTTCAAAAGAGTCAAAGTTACATAAATTTAATTATTATGTAAATAAATTATTTTTTCAATATATCTTTCGCTAAATAAAGCATCAATACAAACAAGTTCTTATAATGTATAAAACAGAAAACAATAATTTACTATTATAAAAATTTCTCCTTATTTATTAAATAAATAAGTTCTTTTTTTTTTTAAATTAAACTAAATCAATTATTAGATTAGTTGTTAAAAGATGTTCCGACAATGAAAAAATTAATTAAATTTTTTATCACGTTGCTAGCAGTATTTATACTGTTTATTCTTAATGGTGGAAAGCATCAAATATCATTTTTAGCGCCAATAACAACAGAATATGGAATATGGATGTATTGTATTTTATTTTTAAAAAGGTGTACATGTGCATTTCTTTTTTTTAATAAATATTTAATTATTATTATATGTATTTTAAGTTATAAAGTTTTATAATTTAAACTTCATTAAAATTATAATGAAATGAAGTTTATTATACAGGGTGTCTTTAAATTACGGTACATCCTAAACTGGTACAGCGGACTAAACTGAGTCGAAAAGTCCTCTACTATTTTGCAACTTTCGCAATAGTTAACGAGATATTAATTACTAAAAATCGCTAAATATTGGTCTCCTATAAAAACTGCAAGAGATTAAAATTATTTTTTTTTTTCTCATAGAACTCTAAGAATTTTTTCAGAACTTTTTATCAACTTTTTAGTACTGCATTTTCTTATTCTTACATAAGAGGAAATACGGTATTGAAAAATTCTGAAAAAATTCTCAGAACTTTATGAGAAAAAAATAAATTTTTATTTTTTATTGTTTTTCTGTAAAGTTAATAGTATTTGAGTAAAAAATAATTGAAGATTAATTTTCCGCAATTTTTAGCAATTAATATCTCGTTAACGATTGTGAAAATTGTAAAATGATAGAGACTTTTCAACTCAATTTTGTCCGTTCTATCTGCTCAAGATGGGTGATGCTGTAATTTAAGGCCATCCTGTATACTTTAAAATAGCATTTTAGTCAGCAAAAATTAATTTGTTTATAAAAACTAAAAGTTTAAAACTACTTATATATCTCTGCATCAAGTCTCAATAGACACTTGGTGTAACGTTATTTTAAAATGTCTATTATTGTTATTATTATTTTGTAATTTAATCAATGCAATACACACTATTAGGGGCTGCGCACAATCAAAGGAATAGGGAACAGATAATAAGAATTTCAACTCAGACTTCACGATACACGGTTCTTGATAGATTGAAATTCTTATTTTCTGTTCTTTGTTCTCAGCTATTCCTTTATGCGCAGCCCCTTAAAATATGTTATTTTGTTTTCGAATGCGGTGAAGTTGAATAAGTTGGAGATCGATTAAACTTGTGATATCAGTGATATTTGATATATCATATGTTTTACTTTAGGTTTCTGATTACGTCAGGCCTCTGTCCAAACACTTGAACACGTTTCCACTTCTCCGCTATCTCGGTAGAGCGAGACGGAGCAAAAATAACAAAGGATAGACGCCAAAATTCCGCGCAAGATTATGAATACTCTAGTGAATTCGCTCACTTTTGTAATTTTCATCTCGTTTCAAGATACAGAATCGATTTCCTTGAAATAAAGTAAAAATTACAAAAGTAAGCAAATTCACTAGATATTGACCAATGAAATTGTAAATATTCTAGTAAATTTGCTCGCTTTTGTAATTTTCACTTCAATTCGAGATACACAATCGACTGCCAGGTCTGTCCAGTCTGTCCAAGCGTCGTAGAAAGGAGTCAAAAGGAAATCTATTTCTCAATGCAATTATAATAGTTGTTTTTATTTTGTTCATTATCCTTACCTGTGACGCTCAAAAATTACAATAAAATTTAAACGTTTCGACCTTTAATCTGATCATCTCATCAGTGATTTTTGTAATAACTGACCAGATTAATAGTCGAAACGTTTGATTAAAATTGACCTAGTTTCCACTGAGGGTTTAATCCGGATCAGAATGTAAGAACCAACCACAGTCGAGCATTTCCACTCGTTCGACTGTAATAGGGGAATACTCGATTGTAATTGGTTGGTTTTTACATTCTAATTCGGATTAAACCCTCGGTGGAAACTAGTCCATTGTCGGGGTAACGTTTTGATTGGTCAAAGAGTAGTCGTGTTCAAGATGACTGAGCATCGTTGAGAATGGAATATCTTATATTCTTATATTATGGGTGAAACTAGAAGACTCATGCATCGTTAATTAATTAATTTAAAAATAAAATATTTTTCTGATAAAGCAGTGAATAATTACTAAGTACCAACTGATTTGAGTGGTGTGTGCAATCGGGAATGTAAACAAACAAGATCCTCCCGAGTGAAATAATTTGAGGGAGTAATCGATTTGATTATAATAAGGGGCCGGATTCTCTCAACGACAGCCGTTGGATATCATTTCGCAGCTTTTTTACTCTACATGATATCTGCGCAACGACATCAACGACTATCGTTAAGAGTTATAGACCGGTATTTATAGTTATATCTTATATTTAAGACCGTTTTAAGTATGGCCTTAAGAAGTCACGAACCAATCAGAGGGCTGCATTAGCGTCTTAAGACATTACTTAAGACGGTCTTGAAATAAGAATCGACTATGAATACCGGCCATAGAATCGGCCCCTAAATCAGAATTTGTCGTAAGAATGCAAAAAAACAATAATAAAAATTAAATTGGACAGACTTGAATTTAGGACAGAATTTTCCCCTGTTTTTCCCTCCCGTTTCTCACGCATGATGTATTGTTTTATTCTGTATTCAGTGAACAAGGATCAAATGATAATTTATGCGTATCATGAGTGAAACAGGACGCACTCTATGATGTTATTCGAAAAGTCGGAGCCATCGGGAGACTTAGCGGCCACCCTATCACTCCCACTCACCCCCACCATGTGGAGAAAAGCGGTGCCTGATGGGAGTGGACGCGCGGAGATAAGTTTCGGAGGTTGATAGCGTTGTGTGTAAACAAAGACGACATTATCAGAAATTGTAATATATTTTCATTGAATTTTGTGTTGTAACTTGTACGTATTGTGAAATCAAGAATCTCTTCTCACTCCTTGTCGAGTTGCTGAGAAGAGAATAGAAGAGAGCGAGAAAATAAGCGTGAAATGTGCCCAACTTCTGCGCATTCGCTCTCACAAGGTTAAGTTTAGCGGTTACCGCGGGCTTGTGAATGCCGCATGTAACAGAAAAGAAGGGGGGGGAAACGAGACAGCTATCTTTGTATTCGAATCTTTCGCCAATTCCTCGCAGACATGGATTTTGCGTTGGAACGTTTGAACGAGAAACATAATACACGTATAATTCTCAAGGAGCGTAATCGTTCTGTGAGTAATATCTGATTTACATTGAATAGCGTAAGGATGAAGGCGACTATTTAGTATATTAGAATTTTTCAATTAACTCAATCGATTCTTTAATTAATTTATCAATATCTAAGAGTGTTATTTTATTTGTGCATTTTTGTACGTTTTATGACAAATGTGTGCAGGACAGAGATGTCCTTGGATCCTTCTATCTTACAGTCAATCAACAGGCATGAAAAATTTGTTGTTTGTATGATAAAAAGACAAATGAAATAGCGACTTAATATAAAGTGTTAAATTTCTTTAACACTTTGCCGAACGAACAAATAGATCTACTCATTTTGTAATTTATTATTGAACGATTAAATAAATAGATCCACCTGTGTGTGATTCACTCCATGCTATTCTTCTGTGACCCTTTTGAAGTAATATTAAAAGAAATTGAACAAATAAAATTTTCAAGAACGATGCTATTTATAAAAATTGTATTTATAATGCTCAATGATTAGTCAAAGCATAATTTACTCAGTTGATAAATTGTTGGCACAAATAGAATTATCGAGCGATAAGAGAAATTATGATGATTTATATCGAAATCTTATTGTAAGCGACGTTGTATAGACCTATGTTAGACTTGAACAAATGTGCTAAATAATAGAAAAGTTTTTATACTTTGAAATAATGGTGAAAGTTAGTGCTATTGTGCAAAGTTTTATGTTATGCATTGAGATGGAATGTTCTTAGTCAACTTTATTGAATTTTAGGTAATTTTTTAATGAAATTTTTCTATTTAGAAAAATTTTAGAAATGTTTTGAGACAATTTTTAAGCAGTAATTGCTTTGAAAAAGAATTTTTTCCTTGTATAAAATATATGTATTAGAGAAAAAATATAGAATGATATTACAGTTTGCCATAAAGTAATATGCACATGTAAATAAAAGAAATAATATAAAGAGAAGGAGGAAATAACATTCTGGATTCATAAAACAGCGCATTATGTTTTCTATTTACGCTACATATAATATTATACAATCAAAATGATCAGTCAAAATCTACTGTACTTTAATTATTGTAAATATAAAAATTCTATAAAAAGCGTTTCTTAAATAAGTTTTACAATTATACACACACATACACACACACACACACACACACACACACACACAGAATATATTTTTTCT